GGGGGACAGAGTCTCGAGCATGCAACTCGCAAATGCGAAACCTAACCATGAGAGTAGGACGGCTCGCGCGGCGCGAGCGGTCTAACAGGCTCTCCAGCACGCATTCGTCTCGGCTCGATTACCCCAACCCATTATCCCACTCTCTCCCCCATCGGGCGCTCGATGGTTCTGCAATCTCACGCCCCCCCCTCGGGAGGTCTCTGAAAGATTGCGGCGCACCCCCAGGCGCGCCTTCTGCATGGGCCCGCCTCTCCAGGCACCCATGCGCCATGTCTTTAGGCGCAATCAGACCCAAGCAACATTTGCTCTGCCTCCAACGAAATCAAAAGTCACAGTATTGCCAGACCAGCGCTCATTCAGGCTAGTGCTCATTCAGCTGCGTGCTGGCATCCCAGCAGCGCCCCGTTGAATTATTATCCCCTCTCTTCTTGACACAGCCCCCCCCCTCCTTCTCCTCTACGCGGTCTAAGGCCCCAGGGCCACATCATGACACCCTTGCGCTGCCCGCCAAAGGGCAGAATGATGCGAGGTGCGGCCGTGCCAACGGGCCGCTGGGAAGCGCGTGCCTTGCGCTGTTTTTGAGCGCCTGCCCCCTGCCCCCAATGGCTGATTAGCCTTCTTTGGCAAGCCCGGCCTTATACCCCTCTCCCTCTCTCTTGCCTTCAGCATTATGGTATCCCTCTCCTCCTCGCCTCAGCGGTCGACCCCGTATCTGGGCGGCCAAGATGGCCCCGGCAATGGAGGGCGACCAAGCACCGGCCTCGACATCGGCAGCGTATTAGTGCGGCGCTCTCCTCGCTCGCGCTGCGCTTGGATGGCGCGCGCTTCGACGACCTACAAGACCGCCCCAGCCCAAGCAGAAGACCCGACTGTGATCCGAGCTTCGCGTGGGGGGGGGCACGGGTTTCATGCGTTTTCTCGATGTTCCCCGACCCCCCCCCCCTGGAAATGGAAGGCAAATTGATGCCTTCGGGGTGAGTTGGGGTGGCTCGGTGGGCGGCGACAGTTGATGCAACGCCAGACTGAATCCAAAAGTCGCTTCTCGCCCCCCGGGCCCTTCGCCCCCCCCCCCCCCCCCTTCCTCGCACGCGGCCGCGCGCCGCGGCCATGCCCATCGGCCCGAGCCCGCGCCCGCGCGAGCAAGCTGCGCCCTCGCGAAGGGCACCGACGACTTAGCGGCCGAAATGGACAGAGGATGGGGCGGATGAAAAAGCGCACGGGGATTCAAGAACAACAAGTGGGAACACGCAGGAACGGACAGAGAGGCAATGGTGGGTAGAAAAATACCGAGGCGGCAGATGGGACAGGAATGGACGTCGCTAGAAAGAGCTCGCTGCAACAGGGCAAGGAAAAGAGGGCACCCCCAGTAGCGTTGAAAAGAATCCGAGGCTGAACAGCCTAACACACGTTAATCGACGAGTATCATGGAAGCTCATCGAGGCGATCCGACTGCCAAAGAGGGTCTTTCGCGCACCACTGGCGAGAGGACCACGCATTCTCTGGGCGAGCAGGCGGACCTCCCCCCAATCCACAAAGTCCAGGACCCAAGCAGACTCAGGAAACCACGAAGAAAGACGGCGGCCGAAGGGAACCCCAAGATCATCAGGGAAGAGCTCACGCTGGCAAACTCTGACAAGATGCGCTTGCAATTTCATTCGCTTAGGGGGTCGAGGAAGCTCGGCGGCCGCGGCGAGAAGCCCCTGGGCGACGCCCAGAGCGATCGACCCAGCTCGGGCAAGACAGTTCGGCGATGGGAAGCCGACAGCGGCCTGTCCTAGATACTCAACAAAGGCTGGGCTGATCCAGAATGCGGGGGAGGAACGGTCAGCGCAAAGATCCACAACCGACAGGTGTTCTGCCGCGAACTCCCTGAGGTCATCTAGAATGGCGGCATGTTCAGGAAACGCGTGGATGGCGGCCCGCATCAAACAAGCCGCGCTCATCGCTCGCACGCTGGCAATCCGGGGCCCACCCCAGTATCCGATGTTAAACCACCCAGCACGAGAAATAGCACAATGAGGAACGTTAAAGAGAGATGCAAAAGTCGAGTGCTCAACACGGGCAGCGGGGGCAGGAAGGGCGGGGGAGGCGTCGGGAAGAAGGAAGAATTGGGCGACGCAGGACAGCGGGGACTCAGCACGGCTAGTGTAGAGATACTCGGTGATGGTGGACGGCGAGCCTATTTTTGAAATCATAGCACTACGGGGGGGCCATTTGATTGGCGGCTTGCCCCAGCTTTCTGCGCTGACAGCTGGCGGCGATCGGGGCACACCCCCAGTCGGGGAGCTGATTCCGAGGCCACATCCGATATTTGGCGACGAGGGACGGGGGGAACTCTCCCGCCAGAGGGGCCAAAAAGCACGCGGCACGCTTCAACTTGAGACAGGCAAGGGCCCCACTGCAGTCAAAGACGGCCGTCAGATGATTTAGTTGACGAGTCGATGAGACCACCGCCCCGACGTCGTCGTCTGCACACGCTCTCGCCAAGCCCAAGCACCGCTGCTCAATGACGGCCTGCGCTCGGCGCTGCACTGCAGGCTGAGGCGCGTCAGCACGTTGCTCAAGAAGGCGATGTAGATCGACCAGGAAGGGGCGACTGCCTGTGGCGAGTGGAGCCCCAGAGCCAGGGCAGCCTTGGATGGCGCCAGCAAGGATGCCGAAGACGCACTCGCATACACGACCACGTGGCGAAGCACCGAACTGCCGGCACAGATGCCCCACGAAGACCAGCAGCGGCGCGGGGCCCCCTAAACCCGGCGAGAGCCATGAGGACCCACGCGCGAGCCACTGATGGAAAGGCCCGGCCATAATCGAAGGAGAGTAGCGCTGGGAGCCGAAGGGCTGCATCAGGCAACATATACACCATTCGACTGCGGGCGTCCAATTCTAAAATGTTGAAACCTCAGTTACGACCTTGAACAAGCCCGCGCTGAAAGAAACAAACACAAGATTTGAACAGCTTGCCAACACCTCCAAACACCGTACTAGTAATGATTCTGTTGGAGGGCCGATTGAGGCCCAGCGGGCGGGTCTGGTCAGGGGCCCTGGTAATCATCATTGCGCCCTCCTCCTCGCCCTTTGCAATAGATGCACTATTTGCGCTGCTGTAAGACGGGACCATAGGTTTCTCACTCAATTCCCACCATAAGGCAACGTCCAAAATCGAGAGAGTCTAAGGGCGCCTCTTCCAAGCCCTGGGAGGGATACCATCATGCCCAGGGGCGCCATCTTCAACGCGTTCGAGACGACGCCCCAGGAGGCGAAGGGAAGGAGGAGGGACGTCAGAAAGAACAACACCGCCAGAGTAGCGACGCAAATCTCCCTGCGCAGCAGATAGATTTATCTCTTCTCAAAGGCTGGCCCCCAGCGGCCAGCCAAAAGTTGTAAAGCGGCGGAGGGCGCCGTGACAACTGCGCCCCTCGCAGATGTCCTGACACCCTGCAGGGGCATCTTCTATCGAATAGTGCCCAGAGACGGCTTCGGCGAATCGAGGCATTCAACTGACGGCGAGCTCTGGTTCGGGCCATTTCATCAGTCGCGTTCGAAATCGTCTTACGGAGGTTGGCTTCTTGATGAATCGCCATCAACTCGTGAATCGGATTCGAGCGCCAATGGAACTCAATCGGATCCGTCAGCTCCACTGCCCCAGCCAGCGGGTGAATCTGAGGGAAGAGCCCGCCCAGCTCATGAGAACGTCGAATTCTCTGCGTACTTGAGGTCTTGCCTCCAGATCGCTCGACCGAGAACATTGGTAATCATTAGTCGTGCAAATGGAGCCCCAGGGGAGCCGATAATCATACTGTCTCGAGCGATATTGGCAGCCTCGCGCATCATCCCAGCATGCACTTGCAGCAGAAGAGAGGGGGGGGGGGGGCGAGCAAGCTCAAGTCACAGTTGGCGTCGATAGCTTCCAAGAACTCACGGCAAGCCGGGCGATCGCAAATCTCTGGTGGAATAAAACGCTCAATAATAGGAATCCGACCCCAGGAGAAATCGCGACCTCCGCAGGCGCATGGTCAGATATCCTTCTCTTGCTGAGAGGCTCAGGCAGTTCCACCACCTCCCCTGCAATAAAAAATTGAAGACGTAGCCAGCCAAGGAGAGATGAATTGCCGATCGATGTGGCTGAGCATCCGTTTCGCGGCGAAGTGACGCGCGGGCCCCCCGACATCCAGCTCCACCACCCTCTTCAATTTCCTCGTGGGAAAAAAAAAAAAAAAAAAAAAAAAAACTAACTCCTGTCGAGCCCTCCAGTCCTGAATAAAGCGGCGGGGCGCTTCGTCGACCTCGGCATCGGGCCCCTTGCAGGGCGGCTTGCTCGCGAAACTAAAACCCCCACTGACAGTGGCCAGAGAACTCGGGCAGGGTGGGCGAGGGAAAGTCGAGGTCGTTAGCGAGGGAGGTCAGCATGTTCGTCTTCTCGTCGCTTCTCAGACCATGGTCATGCATATTATGATGCTTGATCACCACGTCGTCGTCAAAGGTCAGGGGCGCCAGGAGGGCCCGTCCAGGAACGAATTCGGCAACGTTAGAGCGGGAAGCACGCCCCCCAAGGCGCGCAAAACTGGGGGCGAAGGCGACAACACCTCCAGCCGGGGAACTTGAACAGAATGAGGAGTAGGCCGTGTACTTAAGGTTAGTGGTAGAGGAAGTCCTGGACCTCCAACCTGGCGCCACGGCTCTCTTGGACTGCCACAGCGGGGCCAGAAGGGGCGGGGCAGCTTCTTTAGGGGGCGAGTTTGGCTTCGCGGAGAGCAGGGTTATGATGAAAAGAAAAGGACCCCGGCGTTCCAGGCGGTCATCATAAAGGGGGCCACTGCGTTTGATGTGCACCACGCCAGCGGCGCAGCAGGCTGCGAAAGACACCACTGCGGCGGCGCCGCTGGCTGTCCAACAGCGTCGATACTTCCAGCAACGCGCCCCTTGGAAATCCCGAGCTCGGCGAGGTTCGGGAGGCACTACTCAACTTTGCACTGTTCATCCCCTGGGAGTGGAGTGACCTTCGCGAGCGGCTTCCAGTTTGCACTGATCTCACCCTTCTGCTTGTCACTGAAATAACTGAAGACTGCGGCCTCAGCTTCAAAGGCCTTCCGAAGCTGCTTGAGGCCCAGCTCCTTCTTGACCATGGCCGGCGACTTGTCCGTGCTGATGAACAATTCGGCGGATTGGCTCTGAACGTCGGACACGATGAACTTCTCCCAATCACCGCTGGGTTTGCGTAGAGCTCCGATCGCTTGCGACACCTTCCTAGCCGCATACGCGGCGTTCCCCTTGATGCGGAACGTGAACCGTTCGCCACCAGGGCCTGCAGACAGGAAGTTGTCGTCCTTCTCGATCTGGGCTAGCTGGAACCATGGTGCAACTGCTCTCTCAACCTCTTGTCGCGTGACAACCGACTTCGATATGCCAATGATGATACATGTGTCGATCCTCCTGTCGAAGGCAGTGTCGACGAGGTTGACGGATGGTTCCTCTTCTTTGATACAATGGAGGGGGGAAGCCGCGCATCTCAGCCATCTGTTGCTCCAAATTTGAAACACGGGAGTTGGTGGCTGCTTGGGCGGAATGAACCTCGGCGAAGCGCACCTCGATTCCTTTGGACCGGGCGTCGCAGTTACCGAAGGCGGCGACCTGGGCCTGCAACCGCTGGACGGCATCCAACATCTCGTTTCTAGTATCACAGCGACGGTTATCCACAGCAGCCAACGGGTCTTCAGATGGACGTGCACGCTTTCCGTCGGGCGACTGGGTGCCTCCGACATCGCCGTGCCGACGGCGCGGCAACTCCTGAGATGGGAATGTGGCGGCATCGTCGTGCTGCCTGATGACCTCAGCCTGTTGGGAGTCCTCGACCGCGATGACTGCGGACGTCCCAGCTGGGCTGTGGCGAGACTGGGGGCGGGACCGCCAGCGCACGACACGCTGGATGGCTCGAAAAAGAGCTGCCCGCTCGCAGTGACACCTGATCCTATATTGAGCCAAAATGGCACCGGCCTCCTCCTCCTGCTCCTCCTCCTCCTCCTCCTCCTCCTCCTCCTCCTCCTCCTCCTCCTCCGCCTCCTCCTCCTCCTCCTCCTCCTCCTCCTCCTCCGCCTCCGCCTCCGCCTCTCCTCCTCCTCCTCCTCCTCCTCCTCCTCCTCCTCCTCCTCCTCCTCTCCTCCTCCCCCTCCTCCTCCATTATCCCTTCGACTCTCCCTCATTCCCCCCCCACCCACACCCCAGGTCCCTCGCCCTCCTCCCCCCACTTCCGACAGCCCGCGCGCGGAGACGCGTCTCCTGGTGCTGCGCCGCGCCGCGCCCCAGGGCTGTGCCCAGGGCGGCTCCGGCGCGTCCCGGCTGCGGCGCCGACGCTGGGCGACTGGCGGGCGGCCCCTCCCGCGGCCTTCGGGCGTCTTCGGCGGCCTTCGGCGGCCTCGAGGGTCGAAGATCGAGATTCGAGCTGTACCACCACTTGGGGACGGCAGCAGTGTCCCCTGGTCTGTGGGAACAGACAGTGCGTCTCTCCAGGGAAGACTTGGGATTCGGCGCTTGTTCTGCTGTAGGATGCCGATATGCCCCTTGCAAACCACATCGTTATGATTGCTCCTAACCCTCCTCCGCTGTTGGGTCCTCGCTTCGACTCCGCGCTCTCTTCTTGCTGTTCCCAGTCTTCCTGTGTTGTTGGGCCTTCGTTTTTCAATCCCCAGCGCCGCGCGCACCAATTTCGGCACACCTTTCACGAGGATCGTGGCCCCACCGGAGGAAGCTCCATCTACGGTCTCAGTGGGCCCGTCCGCATACGGAGCGGCGTCCACATCGTCCCCGAACTCCATCACTCTGGCGGCGCGCAGTCAACTAGGGGAGGGCCATCCTGCGCCGCAGGCAGCTGTATAGAGTTGGATCCCTTGCCAGGCTAGCCTCGCAAGCCCACGAGCCATCGGGACAAGGACGTGAAGGATGATAAGGTGGTGGAGAGACGCCGTGAGAAGCACGAGAGCAGTCATCATGGCAAGTCTACGGCCCCCCCAGAACCCCCGGGGGCCTACGGACGACGGTACCGCCACGCCGCCAACGTCAACGACCTCGTCGACGACCTCGACGTCGTCGTCGCCATCGTCATCGTCGTGGCCGCTGCTCGCCTCGCCACCCATCCTTCCCTCGCACCCCCCCACCTGAGGTCGGCGACTCCGAAGGGTGTGGCTTGCAGAGGATGTGGTTTGCAACCAGCCCCCTGAGGGGCACCTTAGGGGGCGGGCAAGGACCTCGACACAGCTTTCCTCCGCGCCCCGAGGAGACCCGACGAGGACAGCGTCGTGCTCCCCAGGCCCCAACGGTGCCGATCGCAAACCACACCCCGGTGTAACCACACCCACTGCAGTCGCCGATGAGGGGCGGCCTGCGCGGCCGCGTCCCCGGCCGCGCCGGTGGGCGGCTCGTCCTCCTCCATGGCAGGCGCCATGGTGGGCCCCCGCCCGGCCACGCGGGCGGCGCGCGCGCACGCGCCGTGGTGGTCGCGGCCCTCCCTCGGGGAAGCGAGCGCAGGTGCCCCGCCCCTCCCTCGCCGCCGCCCCCCCCCCCCTCCGCGCCGCCTCCGATCTCACTCTCCTGCCCTCCGCCGCCCCGCCCCGCTCCCCGTCTCCGCCTCCCCCTCACCGCTCCTCTTAGGCCCATCCCCATCCCTTATCGTCTCGACTCCGCCTCCTCCTCCCTGGGTTCCTCGTCCTCCTCCCCCTCCTCCCCTCCCCCCCTCCCCCTCCTCTTCTCCTCCTCCTCCTCTCCTCCTCCTCCTCCTCCTCCTCCTCCTCCTCCTCCATTCCTTTTCCTTACAAATCCGCCGGCAACCTTGTGGGGCCACCAGGCTTAGGCCGAACTGAGCTGCTCCCTGCGCAAATTGCAGTTTCAAGTCTCCAATGTTGCAGCCCTGCTTTGTGCTTCCTACTGTAAATCGATGAAGTCCGCGCGAAGGGAGGGAGCCCCAAAACCGCAATTTGCCACGCCCCGATCGCGTGCTCAGAATTCCTCGGGGAGCGTGGGGCACGCAAACATACTTGAGACTCGCGCCCCGGACGCCACAATCCCTTGTAAATTACACCAGATTCGCGTCCCCGAGGCCACAAACCCTTTTAAATTACGCCATATCTGCGGCCCCGAAGCAACAAACCCTCGCAAATGACGCAGTACTCGCGTCCCCGAAGCCATAGATTGCTGCAAATTACTCCGTATCCGCACTGCCGAGGCCAAGAGTGCTCCAAGGCGCCCGAAAATGGTTCCAAGACGGCCCAAGAGGGCCCCAAGAGGCCTCCGGAAAGAACCCCAACACGCCAAAATCTATGTTCCACGTCGGTTGTTGAAGGAGTTTGGCCTTCTTGCATATTCGGCGATCCGACGTTCCAAGACGGCTCAAGAAGCTCCCTAGACCGCCACAAGAGAGCCGAAGAGGTCTCCAAGAGGGCCCCAAGACGGCCCACGAGGGCTCCGAGATGGCGCCAATAACATTCAAAACGGCCCAAAGGGGCCCCCATACGGTCCCAAGAGGAGCCCAAGCAGGGGCCCACGAACCGAAATTCTAGATTTGCGCCCCGAGAAGCCCCCAGGAGGCCCCAAGAGGCCGCCAAGAGGCCCCAAGAGGCCGCCCCAAGAGGCGCCCAAGACGCGCCCGAGAGGCTTATAAAAAGCCAGAAAAAATACCCCACGAGGCCCCAAGAGGCCCCCAAGAAGCGCCCAAACCGCCTCCAAGAAAACCCCGAAGGGCTACCCACGACACCCCAACACATAGACAAGAGGCCTCAGACCCACAACCCAGGCACGGCGGCGGGATGGACCGAAGACCACTAGGATCCGCCGCCCCCTGTTGATTCATCACAGGGGTGCCTGGCGTGCTGGATCCTTTCGGTTTGGGTTTTGGTTCTTTTTCCAAAAGAACTCCCCTCTGGCGCTTCGGCCCGTCCCGCCAGGTCCCCCCAAGACCCATAAAACGCCCAAGCCATCGCCCAATTCCCAAATGTTCCTCCAAGACGGCTCAAGATGGCCTCTAAGATGGCCACGTTGGCCGAAGATGGCCTCCAAGATGGTCCGAGATGGCCTCCAAGTCCGCCGAAGGCCGAAGGTGTTCCAAGACGGCCTCCAAGACGGCCTCAGAGAGTCCAAGATAACTCCAAGTTCGCCCAAGAAGCCTCCAGGACGACTCCAAGACGGCCCAAGAGGCTTCCAAGAGGTCCTCCAAAAGGGCCCGAAGAGGCCAAAATCATTGATGTTCCTTAGATGTTTGAAAGCTTTTGGAATTTGCTTCTTCTCGGCATTCCGATGGTTCAAGACGGCCCAAGAGGCCCCCAAGAGGGCCCCATGACGGCCCAAGAGGCCTCCAAGACGGCCCCAAGAGGGCCCCAAGTGGGCCCAAGAGGCCTCCAGCACGCCCAAGATGGCCTCCAAGACGCCCAAGATGGCTCCCAAGACGGCCCCGAAGCGCCCCAAGAGGGCCCCCCAAGTCGACCCAGGAAGGCCCCCAAGACGGCTCCCGACGGCGTCAGACGTGCCAGGAACCCACCAAGATGGCCGAAGGTGGCTCGAAGCTGGCCTGGCCCGAGACGGCCCAAGAGGCCTCCAAGAGGGCCTCCAGGAAGGCCAGAAGAGGCCAAAAACATGTATGTTCCTCAGGTGTTTGAAAGATTTTGACATTTGCTTCTTTTCGGCCGTCCGACGGCCCGAGATGGCCCAAGAGCCCTCAAAGATCGCCCAAAGATCGCCCAAGAGGCCTCCAAGATGGCCCCAGAACGGCCCAAGAGGGCCCCAAGATGACCCAAACAGGCTCCCAAGACGGCCCAGGAGGCCTTTAAGACGCCCAAGATGGCCTCCAAGACTGTCCTGGAGCATTCCAAGAGGACCCCAAGTCGGCCCAGAGAGGCCCCCCAAACGGCTTCCGACGGCGTCACACGGACCAGGAGCCCACCAAGACGGCCGAAAATGGCCCGATGATGGACCAAGACGGCCCAAGAGGCGTCCGAGAGGGCCCCCAGGAAGGCCCGAAAAGGCCCAAATCATTGATTTCCCATGGGTGTTTAAAGGATTGTGACATTTGCTTGTGGTCTGCCTTCCGACGGCCCGAGCCGACCCAAGCGCCTATGAGTGCAAATACTACAAATATGACTACTACGATGATTAGTACTACTACTACTACTACTACTACTACTACTACTACTACCACCACCACTACTACTACTACTACTACTACTACTACTGCTACTACGACTACTACTACTACTACTACTACTACTACTACTACTACTACTACTACTACTACTACTACTACTACTTCTACTACTACTACTACTACGACTACTACTACTACTACTACTACTACTACTACTACTACTACTACTACTACTGCTACTACTACTACTACTACTACTACTACGAATCCGACGGCTTCAACAACAAATACTACGACGACGAATACTACTACTACGACCCACCATCGAGGCCAACGAGCGCAAGTAGGCGCGAGAAGAGGCCAGGATGGCAAGCCAAAATGGCTAGGCGCACAGCGGCGGCACAGCAGCACACGGGGCGACCCCAGCACCGCCAGCGAGGCCAACGAGCGCAAGTAGGCGCGAGAAGAGGCCAGGACGGCAAGCCAAAATGGCTCGGCGCACAGTTGACCGTGCGAAGAGCGAACGACTAAGCAACAAGGCCCGCGACCAGCTGCTAGTTACGTTTCGTCCCGGACTTTCGGCGCGCGACCCCGCGACGCCAGTCTGGCCTCTCGGCGCAACAGGGCCCGCGGCCAGCTGCTAGTTACGTTTCGCCCCGGTCGGCGCGCGACCCGCGACGCCAGTCTGGCCTCTCGGCACAAACTTACGCTTCGAACGCCCCCCCCACCAACCCCAACGGGCCCGCCCATCCTGACTGTGAAAAATCAATACAAAGTGATCAGGGCGGCAGGCAGGCAAGGAGGGGGGGAAGGAGCACGGAGCACACACGTGTGGGAGGGAGCCACTTCTAGTCAAGACCGGACACTCGGGGCGACCCCGGCGCCCAGCCCGACTACGTCTTCCGTCGCCAGGGCGACCTGCTCAGCGATTTGGCCCTGCAAAGCGTTGGCCACTGCCGAGCGCGGGGACGAGCGCGCTGCGGGCCGTTCGGCCTCGGGCAATTCCCCTACGGCGCGGCGCAGCCACGTCTCCGCCTCTGCGCCCCAGCGGCCATTGACATCGAGAACAAAGGGCACCAGGCCAGAAAATGGGCATCTACGGTGCTTCACTTTCTCTCTGCGCTGCAGGGATGCCCGATGCGGCCGCCCCGTCTGGGCCACGGCCACCGCGCCCACTAAGCTGATGTCGAGACACACCCGGCCGTGGAGGCCTCGATGGTAGACGACGTCCAGCGTGGCCGCGCCCTGTTCTTCCGCGTGCCACTCTGGGACGACCTGCTCCACCAGGGCGCGATGGCCCACCCCGCGCAACCAGAGCGCCACAGCATCTCGAATGGCGTTGTGGCGGCGCACCGGGCCACCTCCCCGGGGGCAGTTGAGCGCGCGAACGCAGCGGACGTCCACCGTGCGGCCACACGCCGGGCCGGCCTGCGCTATCGCGCGAGTGGGCGCCGCCGGCCGGTTCTGGCACGTGCACTCGGACTGCAGCAGCGGCAAATGCATGCGCCTCTTGGCCGCAATGCAGAACGCGCGGTCGGCGAGGGGCGAAGCCCCCTCGAAGTTATCCAACCAGGCGCCCGCTGAGCTGCCCGAGGCGCTATGCACCGCCGCCGCCGCCGTCGCCGGCAGCGCGGCCAACAACGTCTTGGTGGCGCGGTCCCGCACATGCTGGGTGTACGTCTTCTGGCCCTTGCCCCTCCGCCCTTCCAAGAGGCCCTGCCAACGGTCACCCCGGGGGCGACGGCCCCCTGCCAACCGCCCCTGCTCCGCGTCCGCCGCCGAGAGGGCGCGGCCAAGGCCCGGCCACCGCCGCCAGAGGCCAACCGTTGTCGTCTCGCGGAGCTCCTGGGCAGCCGCGTGGATCCCGGCTTCCCAGGACGCCAGGAGGGCAGCGGGGCCGCGCTGTTCGGCGCTGCCACAGCCCAAACCTCCGTCGCCGACCTTCATGAAGATCTGCTCTCGGGGGGCGGCCGTGACCCCCAGAAGGGCGTTGACGAAGGCGACCACTTCGACATCCACCCGGCGGCCCCACGCCGCCGTGAGCGGAAGCGCGCGCTGGATGTGGACGCAGGCGCCCCTCGACCAGATCCGCATCAACTGGAAGGCGTCAAAGGCAGGCAGCCCGCGCGCGCAGAGCGCCAGGAGTTCCCGGAAGTAGCGGTCCTGCTTCTGGAGGAAGGCCTCGCCGCAGGGGAGTGGCATGGCGGCGCCCGGGGCGACCCCGGCACCGCCAGCCGGCGCGAGGCCGCCCGCGTCGAGGTCCTCCGGGGCGGCAAAGTCCGTGAGCGGGACGCCCCGCCAGTCAGCATCCACGTCGTGGTTTGCGTAGGCCAGAGTAGACCCCACCGCCTTGAGCTTCGGGACGCAGTACTGGGCGT